TTCAGAAGGGTGATTGGGGAGAATATGGGATGGGAGGGCACTGTGTAACCTTGTGTTTGAGATGCTCGTTGTGCCTTCACTACCGGTGATCTAATCAACTTGGTTGTACAGATGTGTGGACGTGCGTCCCGGAGTTCCTTATGTGTGGTCAGTTAAGTTTTCTCCCTCGCGCTCTGTCACGCACACGAGCGCGCAGATCCGCGGTACTGGGTTGTTTCGTGGCCAGCACCAAATGAGCGTTGGTTGTTCTTGTTCTTGTTGGCTGTTACTTAGACGAACTCAATCCCCCAAGGACAGGCTCAGCCAACTTGTTACAACAGGAAAGGAAGAGACTGACACGTGGACTAAGTTTTGTCGAGAATTCGACCATTCCATTCCTTTCCCGTTGTTCCACTACTTCCATCCAATAAAGAGGGGGAAAAAACAAAAGGGATGTGATACACAAGGATTTGGAAATTGAACTGGAGTGATTAACCGTTAACCATACTGGGGTTTCCTAATCCATCAAAAAGGATTATTTTTGCCTTTCCTCATATGAATTTCACCTCTCTCTGATTAACCATGTCTGTTGACCTGAACTTCGGTCTCAGTTGATAACGCTGAGTTTATCCCATTGGTGTATTTACATACCGGAGAGGCGATTCAAAATAGTGTTGATGTTAAGTAACCCGACACACCGCTGATTCTCCGAACCTTACTTGTTTTGTGCTGGAAAACTAATGTATGTTTTCTTTGCAGTGAAGTTTTATGTGGGATGATCGACTAGAAACAATGGTAGGTTGTGTTGATCTTGTTCTGACTCACTTTCAGGGAGTGCCTTCTGCATCCCCGTCGGGACTCGAGTGGCCTAGCTTCCGATTGGGAGTCAAAACTCACTATTGAGTTAAACTATCAACCGGTTAAGTGAGGGTTTGTTATCACTATACAGCTTCTACTTCCTAACGGATTTTAAACGTGCTTTTTATCACGAATAATGTTTCGTTCAAAAAAGGGTTGCATGCAACCCATCTCTTTCTACCATTTTGTTTTCTGTCTTGGAAAAACGTAATTTCGTGCATGTCGAAACTTTTTCAAAACATATTTCTTATTATTTTTGTCTATCTGAAACCCCTTGGGTGTGATGACTTTGCTACCTGTGGATGAAGGAATCCATTATTAAAATTTTCTAAAAATATTCGTCTTTGCTCATGCTCAGTAGCAGTATCATCCACACAATAGTTAACTTGGAGCCGTTGATCATGGGCTACTCTTGGTCTTGGAAACTTGAAGATGTTTAAAGCAGCCTTGCATCTCCTGTCCTCTCTAGCGCAGTAACGTGTGTTTGTGTGCACGTCATCGCTTCCGTGTGTCATGTAACAAACGATGTGTTCTTCTGTGGTTGTGCACACAAAGGTAGGCTCGAGTGATTTGTTGAACCCGTGCGTTGGTAGCGTGGCCGCCTTTTCGATTTGTTTGCCCGGGGAAAGATAGTGCACATAAATGATGAGAGAGCACAAACACAGAAACGTATAGCCAGAAACAAAAACATACAGGACATTTGTGTTCATCCATCTTCTCCCAGTATGTCTTTCTGAGTAAACAAAGGAGCCCGGAGACCAGACAAATACAAAAAAGTGATGAAGAATAGTGAAACACACCCAAGACGAAGAATGCGGGTCCTTCGTTTCGCGCCTCCCCCCTTTCAATCACACACGTGTCTACATGAGCGGGAGCAAAGTGACGGGCAGCATGTGCACGCAGGAGAATCAGATGCTCGGAATATGATAGATGCACTGTTGTGCTCCTGTAAATTCCGCTAATGTGACACTCCCGATTTTGATACTTTGCCGACGATGTGGTACGACAGGA